TTTTACAAAGAGAAGTCTTATAAGAAGAGCAGAGTATATGGAGAGTAAAAGAAAGGTGAAGACAGTGGTGAGAGAGTGCAAAAGGAGAGCAGATGATAGAATGGGAGAAGCACTGTCAAGAAATTTTGATGAAAATAAGAAAAAATTTTGGAATGAGTTAAACAAGTTAAGAAAGCCTAGGGAATGTTAGGATTTGTCAGTTAAAAACAGAGTAGGGAGTTAGTAGATGGGGAGAGGGAGGTATTAGGTAGATGGCGAGAATATTTTGAGGAACTTTTAAATGTTGAGGAAGAAAGGGAGGGTGTAATTTCATGCACTGGCCAGGGAGGTATACCATCTTTCAGGAGTGAAGAAGAGCAGAATGTAAGTGTGGGGGAGGTACGTGAGGCATTACGTAGAATGAAAGGGGGTAAAGCAGCTGGAACTGATGGGATCATGACAGAAATGTTAAAAGCAGGGGGGATATAGTGTTGGAGTGGTTGGTACTTTTGTTTAATAAATGTATGAAAGAGAGAGAAGGTACCTAGGGATTGGCAGAGAGCAATGTATAGTCCTTTTATATAAAGGAAAGGGGGACAAAAGAGATTGTAAAAATTATAGAGGAATAAGTTTATTGAGTATACCAGGAAAAGCGTACGGTAGGGTTATTATTGAAAGAATTAGAGGTAAGACAGAATGTAGGACTGCGGATGAGCAAGAAGGTTTCAGAGTGGTTAGGGGATGTGTTGATCAAGTGTTTACATTGAAACATATATGTGAACAGTATTTAGATAAAGGCAGGGAAGTTTATATTGCATTTATGGATTTAGAAAAGGCATATGATAGAGTGGAAAGAGGAGCAATGGGCAGATGTTGCAAGTATATGGAATAGGTGGTGGTAAGTTACTAAATGCTGTAAAGAGTTTTTATGAGGATAGTGAGGCTCAGGTTAGTGTGCGTAGAAGAGAGGGAGACTACTTCCCAGTAAAAGTAGGTCCTTAGACAGGGATGTGTAAATGTCACCATGGTTGTTTAATATATTTATAGATGGGGTTGTAAAAGAAGTAAATGCTAGGGTGTTTGGGAGAGGGGTGGGATTAAATTATGGGGAATCAAATTCAAAATGGGAATTGACACAGTTACTTTTTGCTGATGATACTGTGCTTATGGGAGATTCTGAAGAAAAATTGCAAAGGTTAGTGGATGAGATTGGAGTGTGTGTAAAGGTAGAAAGTTGAAAGTGAACATAGAAAAGAGTAAGGTGATGAGGGTATCAAATGATTTACATAAAGAAAAATTGGATATCAAATTGGGGAGGAGGAGTATGGAAGAAGTGAATGTTTTCAGATACTTGGGAGTTGACGTGTCGGTGGATGGATTTATGAAGGATGAGGTTAATCATAGAATTGATGAAGGAAAAAAGGTAAGTGGTGCATTGAGGTATATGTGGAGTCAAAAAACGTTATCTATGGAGGCAAAGAAGGGAATGTATGAAAGTATAGTAGTACCAACACTCTTATATGGGTGTTGAAGCTTGGGTTGTGAATGCAGCACCCGAGGAGGCGGTTGGAGGCAGTGGAGATGTCCTGTCTAAGGGCAATGTGTGGTGTAAATATTATGCAGAAAATTCGGAGTGTGGAAATTAGGAGAAGGTGTGGAATTAATAAAAGTATTAGTCAGAGGGCAGAAGAGGGGTTGTTGAGGTGGTTTGGTCATTTAGAGAGAATGGAATCAAAGTAGAATGACATGGAGAGCATTTAAATCTGTAGGAGAAGGAAGGCGGGTAGGGGTCATCCTTGAAAAGGTGGAAGGAAGGGGTAAGGGAGGTTTTGTTGGCGAGAGGCTTGGACTTCCAGCAGGCGTGCATGAGCGTGTTCGATAGGAGTGAATGGAGACGAATGGTATTTGGGACCTGACGATCTGTTGGAGTGTGAGCAGGGTAATATTTAGTGAAGGGATTCAGGGAAACCAGTTATTTTTATATAGCCGGACTTGAGTCCTGGAAATGGGAAGTACAATGCCTGCACTCTAAAGGAGGGGTTCGGGATATTAGCAGTTTGGAGGGATATGTTGTGTATCTTTATACGTATATGCTTCTAAACTGTTGTGTTCTGAGCACCTCTGCAAAAACAGTGATTATGTGTGAATGAGGTGAAAGTGTTGAATGATGATGAAAGTATTTTCTTTTTGGGGATTTTCTTTCTTTTTGGGTCACCCTGCCTCGGTGGGAGACGGACGACTTGTTAAAAAAAAAAAAAAAAAAAAAAAAAAAACTACATAGCACAATACTGTACTGTAGTACTGCAGGTTACAATATCAGTATTCTTAGTATCCAATAGTCTTCTGCATAGGTGGACCAAGTCTGCTGATTCAGAACTTTGTCTGTATGTTATGATCATGAAAAATAAATTTCAGAATTCAGAAGGTTCAGACAATCGGCAATATCATAGAACCCCCTCCCTCCTATTAGTTCGTAATTAGAGGGATTGCTGCATCTGAAAGTTATGTATCTACCACAACATGTTTTATACATTCTAAATATTAATATATATTCTGACAACTGAAAATTAAATTTCTCCCATGTACAGTATTGCAATTTTACATCACCTGTGATAGGTGCATTCAGTGAAATAGTTTGTCAGAAGAGATACTCATTCACACATACTCTTCATTTTTTCTCTATATTTTCTCACTTAAGTCACTACTTTTTGAAACCCTCTTTAACCCTTTGATGGTTGACAGGCCCTCTCAGAAACTCGTTCTCAGGGTCGGCCAAATTTAAAAAAAAAAAAAAAAATTTTTTCTTATGAAAAGATAGAGAATCTTTTCCCGATCATAATTACACCAAAATTATGTGAGTTGATGGAAAACTTACAGAATTATGCTCTCGCGAAGTTACTGCGATGTTTACGCATTGGCGATTTTGCCCAATTTGAGAACCATTTTCGGCCAATTCCTCTGTACTAGTCGACAAAAAACATAAATATTTCGCTAGAACTACATTTTTTCTATTGAATGAGTGCAAGAAACCACCCATTTACCATTTTCAACTATCCAGTACAGTGGTCAGAATTTAGCAATTTTGCCAATTTCACACAAATTTCAAAAAATGCCAATTTCCGAATAGGGTCCAGAACAAACAAGAAATAACTTGACTTAAGAAATCGTAATGACACGATTGCAAATAAACCATACCCCCGGCCGGGATTGAACCCGCGGTCATAGAGTCTCAAAACTCCAGCCCGTCGCGTTAGCCACTAGACCAACTAGCCACAATAAGATTCATCCAACTAGGTATATTTCTACACCATAGGAAGGTTAGCACAGGCACCTCTGTGACCACAAATGCAAGTTTTTACAGACAAATCTCCAGCTAGCGTGGCCGTGACGAACTCTAGCTCATGTTGACGGCAGTGAAGGGACTTGAGCTAGAGTTCGTCACGGCCACGCTAGCTGGAGATTTGTCTGTAAAAACTTGCATTTGTGGTCACAGAGGTGCCTGTGCTAACCTTCCTATGGTGTAGAAATATACCTAGTTGGATGAATCTTATTGTGGCTAGCTGGTCTAGTGGCTAACGCGACGGGCTGGAGTTTTGAGACTCTATGACCGCGGGTTCAATCCCGGCAGGGGGTATGGTTTTAAACAAGAAATACATTCCTGACACTAAAATGACATTTCTTCTGTTCATTAGTCACGTCTCAAGGCCCCTCTTACATTCTTTTGCTTTCCACTTTGAATTTTTATTCTCACGAAAAAATAGAAGATTTACTGTTATGCAGACTACTGCATTAGTGTAAAAAATGATATAAATCATTTTGGGGCGCACTTGCAAAAGAATGTTAGACTCACCAGTTGACGTGTATTGGACGCTTGGCATGATTTGTTTACTTTTGAACTATGGTAAAAATCGAACATTTCTCCTACTTTGAGCTCAATTTCAAGGTACTTTTCATTGTAAAACCGGTGAAAATCATCTCAATTTCTGTGATATGCATTTAATTCTATAAAATGAGACCAAGAAAACTAGAATACAACAATAAATACCATACGAAAATACAGAGCAAAGTCACTGTTTTATGCCCAAAAAAATGGTTTGAAAATTTTTTTTTTCTCATTATGCACTTTTGTGCTGCAGGATTTTTTTTAACTGTGCACACTGACCACATAGACCCATTCTTTCATATGGAGGCCTACCAGCCTTTTCCCGCGAGATTTGACGAGCGCTAGAATTTATGCGTACAGTACTAGTACGTCAAAAACCCCTGCGCGTAAGACGTACTAGTACGTCCAAAACCCTCAAAGGGTTAATCTCTCTCTCCCCAATATTTTTCAAGTTCTAATGAGATGTTTGGATAGAAGAATCTGTGACACAACAATGGGTGTCTAAGGCAAACAAAAAAACAAAACAGCAGCACAGACCTGGAGTCTAACATCATCAAAGTAGGTTTCCCTGTGAGTGTCTTCATCCATATACCGCTTGGCCACATAGTTGTGTGCACGCATCCAATCATCCTTGAGAAGTTACTCAATTTCTTCCTGTACAAGTAATACAAGTTTATAAACATCATATTTGACAAGAGAACAAATAATGACCAAGGCTGTGACTGAACTCTTTAATTTTGCTCAAGCTTTTCTACCTATTCCAATGAGATTGAATTAGGCACACAATTTAATTTTTACTTTGTTAAATGTTCAACATGTGTAAAGCCAAATATTTAAAAAATAATAATGATAATATAACTCCTGGTCATTCAAATTAAAAAATGCCTAAAAGGCCAATTCCAATAAGCAATGCTGTATTACTTATTCTACACGATTCTTGGACATACAACAGGCTTGTGTGAGCGTGTTAGATAGGGGTGAGTGGGGGCACACGAGTTTTGTGATTTGATGTGTTGTTGGAGTGTAAGCAAGGTAACACACATGAAGGGATTCAGGGAAAACAGTTAAGATGGACTAGAGTCTTGAAGGTGGGGAATACAGTGCTTGCATTCTGAAGGAGGGGTGAGGATGTTGGGGTCTGGAGGGCCATCTGAACTGTGATATTAGAGTGATCATGTCAACATGCCTCCCAAACTATGGCATGTTTAGGTTGGATATAGAAATCATTGGTGAATGTTTAGGTAAACTGAGCTCAACACATCTGCAGCTTGTATTTTGCTGGAAATAGTGGGTTAATGCTCCAAGTTTGAGATTGTCAATAAAGATGAAAGTGGGGCATTTTCTTTAGCACTGCATGAAAACACAGTACGTGGGTGAGGCACAGCCATGTACTGTCCTTATATAACCAACCCACCCATCCTACACACATGTAGTGAGATAGCCATGGGCTCTCTTTTTATAGTTACCTAACCATCCATCCCATACACACACACATGGGTGACAAGAAACACCCATGAACAGTCCTTGTACAACTATCCCTATACACATGTGAGTGAGAGACAGACAAGCTGATCACACACATTTTTATATCTTGCTATAAATAACTGAAGATACTGCCATCATTCCACATGTATTAAATATACAGTATATACAACTGGATTATATACTTCGTGCAAGTTAGTTAATTTAAGCATGCCCACCAACATTTTGCACACAATGTACCATGCAAAAACTCTATTTTTCCATAAAACCCTGAGACAAATCATTTTGATTTATATTTAGTAAGTACAGCCTCGCCTCACTTAGCAATGCATTCGTTTACCAATGACTCAGACTTACGACGGGCTCTCTGACTGGTATACATACCTAAATAATATACATTAGAGCTGATTTCCTCTATTCTGTTTATTACAATATACAGTACACTACTGTATAAACATTTAAAAATATACTAAAAATGTTATAAATGGTGCAAAAGTGACATTAAAACAATATCAAAGATGGTTGACACAAACCCACTACGATTGTAGTGTGCTCCTTGCTTAGCAATGAATTCGTTTACCGACATGGTCTTAGAAATGGAACTCCGTCATTAAGTGAGGAAAGGCTGTATTACATAATATTTTTAGGTATTACATGTACTACAGTGAAGTAATATGTAAGTACATTTTTAAACACATTTTTGGACTGAAAAATTTTTGAACAAAATATTTTTCAGCACCAAGACTTTTCAACATAGTAATTTCCTGAACTAATTCACAGCATAAATCAAGGCTTCCCAGTATTATCATTAAAGTACAAGCATGTAAAACAAAAATACAGCACTGTAATTTCAAAAATATGAGATAGACAAACAGCTTTGCTAACAACAAAATGTTTTCTTTAACATACATGCGAAAGCATTCTCTCATAGCTCCGTGGTTGAAAGGTTCATTCTCCATCTTGACCACAACCTCATCAACAACCCAATTCTGCCTCATGGCATTGTACCGGTGACGTTTAGCTTTCTCGGTTTTGTATGTATCCAGATGAAACTTCTCCCAAGGATCCCCAAGAGTGCGAGCCTGAAAAAGAATTACTCAGTACTATTACTTATTTATTACTCTATTATTATTCTTACAATCATAGAAATTGTTTATTATGCCACACTTTTAATCTACTGACATATATGCAGTGGACCCCGGTTTTCGGTTGGTTGCGGAAATTATACAATTCAGATTTCGAGCACTCTTTTTGGCGAAGTTTCCCCCTGGGTTTTGTACATCCCCTCAAAAATCATTGGTACCAAACGCATGCACCTGGGCTGCTCATACATTCGTGACTCACTCTTGGGCACATTAAATGTCTTATTTTACATTAATATAGACATTTTCATTAATCCAGCTATGATATTTTCTTCAAAATTATGTAAGAAACACATTACATAGCATATAAACATGCCTTTGTTACTCGTTCACTCAGTGTCCCTCAAGCCTTAACGCTATAGTAATATGTACTAAGAGTACGTAATAATGATCACTCTTGGGCACATTAAATGTCTTATTTTACGTAATATAGACATTTTCATTAATCCATCTATGATATTTTCTTCAAATTATATAAGACACACATTGCATAGCATATAAACTTGCAATGCTTATGTGCAGTGGAGGGTAAACATTACGTTTTCTCTGGTCCAGCATTAGAGAAAACTGTATGAATCTGCATTTGCCAAGTAACCGCCCTTTATACACAATCTTCTGTTTACAATTCTTGGCATGAATTATTCATTACTTCTCCCTTTGTTTACGATGGCATCTAAAGGTAGCTGTTAGAAATTATTAAACTCAGTGAACATGGTATGACAATGGTAATAATATGGCTGTAGGCCGCAGTGTATGTGGCTGGTAGGTATGCACTGAGATGTAGTCTGCCTGGACTACAAATAAATACTACTCACCAACATGAGTCTTCAATAAAGGTATGTAATGTTCATTTATCATTAAAATAGTTACTTATATTTATTTCTCATTGTTTTCTGTATGTAAAATTATGGTTGTTCTCTATAAAATGTATTTTTATGCTAATATTTTTGTGTATCAAATGGATTAACTGGATTTACATTATTCCTTATGAGAAATATTACTTAGGTTTTTGGTCATTTCGGATTTTGGCCAACCTTCTGGAATGGATTAATTATGAAAACCAGAGGTCAACTGTATTTGTTATGCTTATTAGAATTACCTTTATTCTATGTACATCCTTAATATCTTTGTATAAATGCATGTGAATTTTTTTTTTTTTACATTCTGTTATGTTGTACTAGTCCAGGGATAGGTTAAAGCTTGCCCAAAATGTTCTGCATAACCATATGTTACACAGTTTTCTAAAATCTATGTAACATGTGAAAATAATTTTATCATCATATCATCATACAACATCGTAGTGTACAGTATTTTTGCTTTTAGGATTATAATTTTTATCATGAGCATTTACTGTTTTTTTTTTTTTTTCAACAAGTCGGCCGTCTCCCACCGAGGCAGAGTGACCCAAAAAAGAAAGAAAATCCCCAAAAAGAAAATGCTTTCATCATCATTCAACACTTTCACACCACACACACATAATCACTGTTTTTGCAGAGGTGCTCAGAATACAACAGTTTAGAAGCATATACGTATAAAGATACACAACATATCCCTCCAAACTGCCAATATTGGCATTTACTGTTACCATTATATAATAAAAACTGTTAATTCTTTATGCAGTACAAAATAATGTAGTTTACATATAATAAAACACTGGTAGGCACAAAAGAAAGCCACTAGTATTTAACACCATAGAATATTAAGCAGAATTTTTTATGCAGTTAACTACAATCATTTGTACAATAAGAAAGGTAGCTAATGAACAAATGGTACAATTTTAAAAGTATGACTTACTATTTCAAACTGATTCAATGATCTTTAGTTTTGTGGAATGAGTGAATAAAGATGAAGATATGAAGATGCAGGAAATTACTTAGTTACAGCAGAAACAGAAAGGGACAAAACATGTATCATGGATTTACAGTTGCCTGTAGCAACTATACTTAGCTCAATCAGGCCATCGATACTTAATTCAGCATAATAAGAATTTTCAGCACACTGGAACAGTGCCAATCACATACAGCAAATGCATACAATGCAGCACTGAAATACTTTACTGTATCTTGGTCATTTGAAACCCTGCAATGTTCTACAGGGCTCTGCACTGCATCCTTTATAAGGACATTGTTTTCTTATCAGAAGCACTAGTGAATGCTAAACTGGATTTTCAGAATATCAAATATTAAAGTCTTACAAGAAAAAAATACAGAATCAAAACTGAACTTTATTTGGAGTTTCTGAGAAAGTTTACATTAAAATGATGTAAACTGGTTATCGTGCATTTACTCCAATTTCACAGAAAAATCAGTTTTATTTATAAATCTAACCTGCATTCTATGATCCACTGCTGCTTTTTAGAGTATTATGTTTATATCCCCTGCAGAGGGTTCAAACTCATGTTATTTACTACAAATGTACTACATTTTAATATAAAATGTAATTTTTTCTTTTATTTTGATGCAAATTCTATTACCAGTACAGCATTTCCAACCGGTTTTCTTATGAAGCATGTGACCAATATCAAAACAATATGCTGCACATATTGGCTACATAACATTTATTGGATAATAGCTTTCTTAAAAGGAGTTCTACACAGCAGAGGTGACTGCTCATGAGACATATTACAATAACATAACTTCAATCACTTTAATAAGGCTACCGTAATACAGGTATCCATCCAACCTTCTTGGTAGAGATATAAAATAATCACCTCATTTTAGGCACTATAGTATAGGTATCCACTCACCTTCATCACAGCATTTTTCCATGCCATCCTAGCCATCAACTTCTTATCAACAGCCTTTTCTTCCCGTCTTTTCTTGAGACCCGCACGGAATACTACAGAGAAGAATCGGTTACCACAGCCATTTGGCAACGACTGGCACTCATCGTGACTGTAAGAAATAGATTTCTTATTTAAATATCTCATGACATGCCAGCATCAAGACAACTGAGTGGACTTTCCTGACTTTTGACTTTTTTCAAATGTATGAATAGACTAAAAAAGACCCAAAGAGGTGTGCACAAGTCAAAAAATATTGGTAGACGGAAGATCTGAAAGTATGAAAAACTGTGTGTACTAGTATGCTGGACACACAGAAGCACCTGCATACTAGTACATCAGATACAGCTTATGAGTTAAAACCTAAGTGAATATAACACAGGTTGTGAGTTACAATTACTGTACTGTATATAGTTTGGGGTAAGGCTATCAAGAAATTACAGAATATATGAGCAATAAAGGACAAACTTTTACAATGACACAAAATTATTTGTTTGAAATAAAATGCAACGAACATGAAAAAAAACGTTATCACAACATATTTCATGAAATCAAAGTAAACATGATTGCAAATAAATCGTAAAATGAGTGGGGTAGGGCAGTTTTAGGATTCATTGCCAAGCATTTGAGCTCCACCTGTTCTGTGATTTACAACATGTTAGTAGAGGCCCACAAAAAACAATATTAAATACTTGTTTTAATAGTTACAGGTATTAATTTAGATAACCTACCAGAAAGAAAAATTGCATGAAAGTGTTTGAGGATGATGCAGAAATCTTCTACAGAGTAAGATATCAACAACTGTAAAGCCTTGCAAGAAGAATTTTATAACATGAACAAATGAAGAAAAAAATGGACTTTGGAATTTAATGCAAACTGAATGCAATGGAAAAACTGAAAACTCAAATAGATTCCATGAAGATCACATTGTGGGTGATTAAAAACCTAATCACTGAAAAGAGAGGGAGGGAGAGGGAGAGAAGGAGAGAGGGAGACAAGGGGAGGGGAGACAAGGGGAGAGGGAGAGAAGGGGAGAGGGAGAGAAGGGGAAGGGAGAGAAGGGGAGAGGGAGAGAAGGGGAAAGGGAGAGAAGGGGAAAAGGGAGAGAAGGGGAGAGGGAGAGAAGGGGAGAGGGACATATATATAAATATATATATATATATATATATATATATATATATATAACACAGTACAGTACATTTCTTTCTTTCAACAAACTGGCCATATCCCACTGAGGCAGGGTGGCCCAAAAGGAAAAACGCAAGTTTCTCCTCTTAAATTTAGTAATACAACCTCTCCTCCCTTAACGATGAAGTTCCGTTCCTAATCATAGTGAGTTTGTATCGACCATTTTTTATACTGTTTCAACATCACCTTTGCACCATTTATATAATTTCTGGAATATTTTTTCATGTTTATATAGTAGTGTACTATATATTGTAATAAACAGAACAGAGGAAATCAGCTCTAATATACATTATTTAGGTATGCATACTGGTCAGAGGACGTTGTAAGTCTGAGGCACAAATAACCCGCACATAAAAGAGAGAAGCTTACGACGACGTTTCGGTCCGACTTGGACCATTGACAAAGTGACTTTGTCAATGGTCCAAGTCGGACCGAAACGTCGTCGTAAGCTTCTCTCTTTTATGTGCGGGTTATTTGTGTATCGTTCCAGTCACGGTATTGTGCCTTTTTGTTATTTAAGTCTGAGACGTCAGTAAACAAGTACAGTGGACCCCCAGTTTGCGATATCAATCCGTTCCTGAGAGCTCATCGTAAACCAAAATTATCGAAAAGCGAATCAATTTTCCCCATAAGAAATAATGAAAATCAAATTAATCCGTGCAAGACACCCAAAAGTATGAAAAAAAAAAAATTTTTACTACATGAAATATTAAGTTTAATGCACACAAAACTGAAGAAGACATGCACAGTTTGTAGTACTCTACTAACAATAGAATACATGACACTTACCTTAATGAAGATCTGGTGATGATTGATGGGGTGGGAGGAGGGGAGTGTGTGGATGGTGTTAATGTTCAGAAGCGGAATCCCCTTCCATTAGGACTTGAGGTAGCAAGTCCTTTTCCGGGGTTACTTCCCTTCTTCTTTTTAAAGCCACTAGGACCAGCTTGAGAGTCACTGGACTTCTGTCGCACAACATATCTGTCCATAGAGGCCTGTACCTCTCGCTCCTTTATGACTTTCCTAAAGTGGTTCACAACACTGTCATTGTACAGGTTGCCAACACGGCTTGCAGTAGCTGTGTCAGGGTGATTTTCATCAAAAAAGGTTTGTACTTCAAGCCACTTTGCACACATTTCCTTAATCTTTGAAGTAGGCAACTTCTTCAATTTCTCTATCCCCTCCTACGAAGCAGTTTCCTCAGGTCTGGGCCCCTTGCTGTTGAAGATGATCTAGCAGCTCATCAGTGGTTAGTTTGTCATTGTCCTCTCCACCAACTCTTCCACATCCTCCCCACTAACCTCCAACCCCAAGGACTTTCCCAATGCCACAATGGATTCCTCAACTGGCATAGGATTCCCTTCAAAATCCCTTTTGTCTACACATCCTGGCCACAGTTTTTTTCCAAGCAGAGTTCAAGGTCCTCTTAGTCACTCCCTCCCAAGCCTTACCTATAAGGTTTACACAATTGAGGATATTAAAGTGATCCTTCCAAAACTCTTTTAGAGTCAATCGAGTGTCTGTGGTCACTTCAAAGCACCTTTCAAACATAGCTTTTGTGTACAGTTTCTTGAAGTTGGTAATGACCTGCTGGTCCATGGGCTGCATGAGAGGAGTGGTATTAGGAGGCAAAAACTTGACCTTAATGAAGCTCATGTCCCCAGGGGCAATGTCTAATACCAGGAGGCACTTAAGGTCTAATTTCTTTTCAATTAGGTAATTTTTCACATTGGGGGCAAATGCATGATGTAACCAGTCATAGAAAAGTCCCTAGTGACCCATGCCTTACTGTTTGCCCTCCACAGCACACACAAATTAGCCTTGAGGATATTCTTTTGCCTGAATGCTCTGGGAGTTTGAGTGATACACCAATAAAGGCTTCACTTTGCAATCACCACTAGCATTGGCACACATCAGAAGAGTAAGCCTGTCTTTCATAGGCTTATGTCCAGGGAGTGCCTTTTCCTCCTGAGTAATGTAGGTCCTGCTTGGCAATTTCTTCCAAAACAGGCCTGTTTTGTCGCAATTAAACACTTGTTCAGGTTTCAAGTCTTCACTGTCTATGTAATCCTTGAATTCCTTCACATATTTTTCAGCTGATTTTTGGTCCGAACTGGCAGCCTCACCATACCTAATCACACTATGTATGCCACTACGATTCTTAAATCTTTCAAACCAACCTTTGCTGGCCTTAAATTCACTCGCATCACCGCTAGTTGCAGGCAATTTCTTTACCAAATCGTCATGCAACTGCCTAGCCTTTTCACAAATGATCGCTTGAGAGATGCTATCTCCTGCTATCTGTTTTTCATTTATCCACACCAATAAGAGTCTCTCAACATCTTCTAACACTTGTGGTCATTGTTTCGTAATCACAGTTGCACCTTTTGCAACAACAGCTTCCTTGATTGCCGTTTTCCTTGTCACTATAGTAGCGATGGTTGATTGGGATTGGGGTTTTGTATACAACCTGGCCAGCTCCGACACATGTACTCCACTTTCGTACTTTGCAATTATCTCTTTCTTCATTTCAATAGTCATTAGCACCCTTTTTCTCGAAGGGTTGGCACTAGAAGCTTTCTTGGGGCCCATGGTGACTTATTTTGCAGAAACAAGCACCAAAAACACTGATAATATGAAATGTACCGAATGTATCCTTTGATGCGACTGCACTGGCTGGCTTGTAAACACTGGCACACATGGGGCAGTTCAGGCCACATGTGGACACGTGTCAGAAGAATCGCGTATACCGGGTTTTTTAATGGGAACTGAGGCAAAATTTTTGCGTTAAAATGTATCGAATACCGAATTTATCGGATACCGATGCTATCGCAAACCGGGGGTCCACTGTACATCGCTAAGTGAGGAGAGGCTGTATATATAAGAGAAGGGGTTACTAGCCCCTTGCTCTCAGCATTTCAGTTGCCCCTTATGACATACATACAAAATATATATATATATAATATATATATACAGTGGACCCCCGCTTAACGATCACCTCCAAAATGCGACCAATTATGTAAGTTTTATTTATGTAAGTGCGTTTGTACGTGTATGTTTGGGGGTCTGAAATGGACTAATCTACTTCACAATATTCCTTATGGGAAAAAATTCGGTCAGTACTGGCACCTGAACATACTACTGGAATGAAAAAAGTTCGTTAACCGGGGGTCCACTGTATAATATATATATATATTATATTTTATACAGTGGACCCCCGCATAGCGAACGCCTTGCATAGCGAACAATCGCATAGCGGACGCTTTGTTCGCTAAAATTTTGCCCCGCATAGTGGACAAAAACCCGCTCAGCGGCCTTCGTCCGAGACGCGTCCAATGTGCGCCCTCAGCCAGCCTCACATGTGCCGCCGTCCCATTGTTTACCAGCCAGCCTCCGCGGTAACATTCAAGCATACACTCGGAATATTTCGTATTATTACAGTGTTTTCGGTGTGTGTTTCTGGAAATTAAGTGACCATGGGCCCCAAGAAGCTTCTAGTGCCAACCCTACACCTCAAAGGGTAAGAATACCCATTGAAATGAAAAAGAATCATTGATAAGTAATGAAAGGGGTACGTATCAGCT